AGACCAGGAGAGTTAGATAAATACAAAATATGCTAAGAAGACAAAAACAGCAGAAAATTAATAAAAAATAATAAATTTAATCAAATCTAATTAGATTTAAGAGATTTAAAAGTTTAAAAATTAAAAGATTTAAAAGGGTATTAACTGGTTGGGAAAGCCAAGTCAAATAGATATGCTTTTAATCTTTATTTAAAGGACTGGATAGAGTCCAAGGCTCGAATAGAAGCTGGGAGGCTTCCAAAGGTCGGTGCAGCTGAAGCAAAGGGTCGCCTCTGGTCTTCAGTCTGAACTTAGGTCGGGCCAGGAGTAACTGACCTGATGATCTTAATGCACGACAAGGAGTGTACAGATTGAGGAGGTCAGTGAGGTAGCTGGGCGCAATGTTATTCAGGATTTTAAAAGTGAGCAGCAAGATTTTAAACTCAATGTGATATTTGATTGGTAACCAGTGTCAACAAGAGCCGGAGAAATAGGGTCAGATTTTCTAGTTCCAGTAAGAAGGCGAGCCGCAGCTTTCTGAACGAGCTGCAGCCTTCGAAGAGAGGAGGCTTGGAGACCACAGTAGAGAGAATTACAATAATCTAACCTGGAGGTCACAAAAGCGTGGATACGTTTTTCCAGCTCCCTGTGTGGTGTATAGTGCTTAGCTTTAGAAATCTGGCGCAGTTGAAAAAAACAGATTTAACTACAGATGATACTTGCTTATTGAGCTTAAAGGAGCTATCCAAATAGACACCCAGGTTACACATAGAATCAGAGAGAGTTAGCTCGGGGCCCCAGCAGGGCAACAAGCTGGTCTCGAGGAACATGGCTGTCAAACACCATAACTTCAGTTTTTTTCTCATTTAAAACGAGATAATTTTCTGACAGCCAATCTTTAACCTCAGGCAATCGTACAGGGAGTTCAGTGATGCTGACAAATCATCAGTCAGTTGACAATAGATTTGTCTCAAAAACGCCTTCACACTGGGGACGCTCGTTTTGTCCACACAAGTAGAGTCACATCCCAGTTTCTGTAAACACAAACACGACCCTGAACTGAAAAGATGGATGGATGTGTAAAATCCATATTGCTGCTTGTTCACAGCAGGACTTTGTTTAGCTTCTGTTCCAGTATTCCTGATTTGGCTTCTCCAAACCGC